TGAAGTCCACTGACGGGTCTGTATTGACTGGAAACTACAAGAAAAGTATATCACATAACGTTGTATTCTGTTGCTATTAAGATGTTAACTTAGAATAGGATAGGCTTTCTCCTATTACAACTGGGAAGCACTATAAGGTACCAGTAACTGTCAAATACATGTTTGGTATCAAGATCACACAACGAGTTACATTCTGTTGCTTTTACATTAAGATGTTATATTAGGATAAGGGTCCTCTAGAAGATAGAGTGCTTACTATATATATTCGTGAAAAAAGTTAACTAACAAAATTGTACAAATTAGTGCAAAGTTTTGTAGATCTACGGTCTACTGAAGCCTACTGAACTTACTAACTTATGCAAATTTTGCAATTTCTTACAACGTTTTTCACTAATATAAGGTGTGCATTATACCAGTCGTGGTACTTACAGATACCTGTTTAGTGAATTTGTCGACGCAAGCCATTCTTATGCGTTCACATGTAGCTGGACTGTCCAACCTAAACACACCCTCGATACCCGCATCACGCCTGGAACAAATGCAAAATACGTACAAATTAAAGCTCGTAAAATAAAGGAAATATGAGCAATAGTCTTACCTGGCACTTGTTATGGCGTTCTTGATAGCATAGAATATTGACGCAGCCAAAAACAGTGGTGGTTCACCCACAGCCTAAAAATATTGAGTAGTGCTAAATTTGAGCTTTTCAACTTCAGAACTTCTGTACCAATTATTCTAATGTATTTTAAGAATTTTATTTTGTACTGGTATTTTATATTGATTATAGGTATCGTCTCGCAAGCAAATCGCTTCCTATTAACATAGACAAAAAGGTAGCAATAAGCTTATTAATGGCTAACCTTTGAAGAGTAGATAGCGTTCTCATTTGGCGCGCTTCGTAAGAGGTGAACTGAGAACTTGACAGGGATGTCTGCAAATCCAGGAATCTTGTAAGCTCCAGGCCCTGTCGTCCATAAGGCACCTTGTTGAGAGAAACGTACTTCTTCCAATGTAAAAAGACCAAGGCCTTGAGTAAATCCTCCCTCAATCTGAAGGATAACAGTTGTAGTTTATTGTTTGCATAAACCCTTATATAGGTTCATATTTTGGGGTGTAAAATGGGAAATGGTGCAAATTTTTGAATTCAGACAGTTTGAACTATTTTGTCCCACACCACTGAAAATAGAAGACAAGATTGGAACAACGTCTGACTCATAAAAATCTGAGCCCCAGATCACTGAAAATGCCTAGAAATTCAAAACACCGCGATTCCTGATGGAAAGAAACGGGTGGAGTACCACAGCCTGCATTGTGAGTGAAGATATTCCATGGTGTGAGATAATTATTGACAGTGTTCAAGATAGAGGTTAGGTTTAGGTTGAATAGCTTGGCAAACGTTTGTACCAGAAGTTTCATACTAATAAATGTATGCTAACTTGATGTTTACCTGACCAATATCGATAGCAGGGTTTAGACTGGTTCCAACATCCATCACGATGTCTGTGCGCAAATTCTGTTTAACAGCAATGGATAATAGATGACGATGTGAAAAATGAATGATCAAATTCTATTTGTTTTTTCCTTTTTTCCCAAGTGATAAACATAGCACTAGCTGTAGGACCCCGTCCTAATCAAAAATACTGCAGTTACATTACAGATATCTAAACTAAACGGAACAGTAGTAGAGATATGATATACTGCAGTGGTTTATACTTTACAGATATATAAACTAAAAGGAACAGTAGTAGAGATATGATATACTGCAGT